TCACTCAGCAACAGTATTTCATGATCATAAAACAGCACAACACCCTCACACCTCCAAGTTTCTTTTCTCTCACGTCTTCCTGACGATTGAGTTGAATGCCTTTATTGTCAGTGGAGGATGTGTATGGATATGTGTGGGTTGTAAAGCCATACAAAATACAAAAACTACAGGTTACATAGAATTTAGGTCTTCAGTCTGTACTCTTAAAATATATCCAATTTAACTCTGCACCTCTTCTTATCCTCTTCAGCCCTCTCATGGGAGGTAACAGCTGTCCTGTCACCCCAAGTCACATGACATGGGCAGGTGGGAGAAACCTATGTGGGACATCTAACTACCCTCCTCCCCCCATTCTGTCTCTCTGAATGTCAGACACACACACACACACACACACACACACACACACACACACACACACACACACACACACACACACACACACACAATCTCTACTCTTCAAGGGTGTGGCCATTTTGCATTGCTGGAATGTGCGCTGTGTTTGTAATTCATACTGTATGTCTGATCTGCCCCAGTGTTGAAATACCAGAGACAAAAATCTGTCTCGTTCCAGTCCCTGCTTGTAGCTGGTGTGCTGCTGAACTCGACGTCTCGGTTTTATGTTCAAACATTCTCGCTCACTTTGATGTGCAGGGAAATTTCTCTATATCGATCGTTTATATCACATACTTGGAACTGCTGGTCCTTTGCTTTACAAGACAACCCAGGTGCAATATTCATTTAGTGTATATGTACAAAGAATTTCCTTCCAATAATCTAGGAAACAAATTAAACATTAATAACGAGAAGGGCACACTCACTGGACACTTGATCTGGTATATTTTGCTAGTATTGGTTTGCACCCACTCCCCTACTCCTCGCCTTCAGAACTGTCTAAATTTTCCAGGACACAGATTCAACAAAGTGCTGAAAACATTCCTCAAAAATTTGTGGTCCATATTGACATGACAGCATCAAACAGTTGCTCTAGATTTGTCTGCTCCACATCCATGATGCAAATCTCCAATTCCCCCACATCTTAGTGGATTGAGATCTGGTGACTGCGTCGTTTGAGTACAGTGAACTCACTGTTGAGATAATTTGATCTTTGTGACATGGAGTGTTATCTGTACATTAACAATACTCAGGCATGCTGTGACTTTTTTGCAATGCTTAGTTGGTACTAAAGTTTTCCAAGAAAATATCTCCAACATCATTATACTGTTTACACTGAACAGTTTATATAAAGAATTATGGATCCATGTTTTTGTGTAATTTACATCAAATTCTGACACTGCCTTCTGACCAGATGACATTTTTCCATTTTCCTAGCGTTCCAATACGGGAACAATAGGAAAATATTTGTCTCATTCCACTGCCAAATGCAATAATAAGTGCAGTATTTATATATGGAATCTCAGTATGCCTATACCAGTACCTACGTGTAGTTATGTTCCTATTCTACATACACATTTTGTGGAAATCAAGAAAAATAATTCCAAAAAGCTTCTATTAGAACTAAAATTTATAAGACATGAAATCTATGTTTTTACTTCTTCTTCTCGCGGGGGAACAAACTCTGCTGGCACTGTTTCTGGGGACCCTTTTTACGAACGGACAGACCAAACAACGACGCGTTCAGCTAATTTTCACATTTTTAGTATTGTTTTTGGTGTAATTGGACAAGCAAGGATGCAGACTATAATCACACGCTACAGTTGTAGATAACCGCTAACTCCACAAAAATTACGCGTTTTTATTTGCAACAGTATTTGCACAGCGTTTTTATTTAACAGTATGTCGGCGGCGGCCGTTGCTCTGCTCCCCGTTACAAACTGATTGTTTTTTCTTTTTTGGACAGAAGTCACAACAGAGGTTAGTGTCAGTCACGAACTTAGCACTGATGGGTTGGAA